AAATGATGGATTAGGCATTGAAATTGTAGCCTTTTTTTCTAATCGGTTTTTTTTCTTCATGTTGGAAGTTTGCTTCTCTTTGTGTCGTTGCGATGATTCGTCGATGAATAGCTGTTGAGTGTTAGAGTAGAATGTCATTTCGTATTGTAAAGGTATTTTATAACTAGGATGTTAATTTGTGGTGGTTGGAATTTAAAACTTGAGCTTCTCTCATGGATTTCGGAACGACAGTTTGCGGTGATGTTTGGAGAGTAACAAGGAAAGGAAACCAGGGTGACTTAGAGTTTTGCTTAGAGGATTGGTTAATTTGAGGGCATCAATATTCAGGATATGTTGTGTGTTTTTGTTGGTGGAAGGTGAAATAATCCTTGGAGGCTGTAGTTGGTGCCGGTCATCCTCATATTGTTCATAATCACTGTTTAAAAATTTTGGATGGCCCTGCAGCTCCCCCAGTCCCAGCTATGGTCTGCCTGTGCATGTTTGTGCTATTTTCTATTTTTGTTTCAATTTGGTTTTGTTAGAATTGGAGTTAACTATAGTTGTTATTATGTCTGTTACTCATTTACCAGGGTTTGTGTGGAGCAGTGTGAGAAAACTGGATGTGTAGGGGAAAAATGCTTCCAACATTGCAAATTCTCGTCTGATGGGAAGCCAGTGGGTGGGCCATGGTATCTACAAGAGCCACTGTATCTGCAGTGGAAACAATGGGACTGTCGTAGTGACTGCCAATACCATTGCATGCTTGCCAGAGAGGAAGAGAGAGAGAAGCTCGGTGGCAAGCCTGTCAAGTATCATGGGAAATGGCCATTTCACCGTGCTTATGGCTTTCAGGTTTCCATGTGTAATCTTCTAGTTCAACTTTAAGATCTATCCTTGCTGCATATTTCAATCACCCATCTTAAATTGATACTTTTTTTGTGTTCCCAGGAACCTGTTTCTGTTGCTCTCTCTGCACTCAATCTTGCCATTCAGTTTCATGGTTGGGTATCCTTTTTCATCCTAGTATACTATAAGTTGCAAGTGACACCAAGTAAGAAGACTTACTATGAATATACTGGCTTGTGGCACATCTATGGAATCCTATCGATGAACTCGTGGTTCTGGAGTGCTGTTTTCCACAGTCGGTGAGCAATATTATTACTAGTTAGAGAATTCGTTGGAAAAGGCCTAAAGCTGTCTTCTTGAAATCATGGAAAACTAACCTACCTATTGACAATTTGAATGCGTGCTTAATTTTGAAAGGAGAAGATAATCTTCGGCTAAGTTGGGATTTTATATGGTTTGAGGGTTTTGTCATCCCACACCATACAAGCCCTTTGGGTGCTCTATAGCAGAGTAGAAGATATTGCCTGATCAATTACATTGTAATAAAAAGATGTTGAATCTGCTAATTCGTGGCAGCAAACATTGGTTTTAGCTGTAATGTGACCATGTCATATCTACATGTGTCTTTCTATTTAGAAATATTTTATTACGATTTTCTGTTTTGTCCTCCTGTCTGGTGGGTGATTTTCAAATTTAATTTATTGCAGAGATGTTGAGTTGACCGAGAAACTAGATTTTTCATCTGCTGTGGCATTACTAGGGTTTTCCCTTATTCTAGCAATACTACGAGCTTTCAGCATGAGAGATGAGGCTGCCAGGGTCATGGTCTCTGCTCCAATAATTGCATTTGTTACTACACATATCTTATATCTGAACTTCTACAACCTGGATTACGGTAATTTTTTTTGTCTTCTAATCTTCCTGCTCTACAAGGTAAAATAATAGACCTTTGTTTTAAACTTACAGGGGAGCTGCAGGATATCATTACCGTTCAAACTTATTCCTTTATGTTTGTTTGATTTAAAGAAGCCTTGTCTTGGTCCCACTCAGGAGGGTCCTGTCACGTTTTATTTGCTGTTCTTTTCTGGTCCATCCCTTGTGCTGTGCCTTTCTCATCTTGAATCGTTTTTGTTGTACTCGAATTGCATTCAATTTTGAATTTTTTTGCTGGCCACAACTTAACCATTATCTCCATTTTTTTAAATTCATTTGCTTGCGTGTCTAACCATTTGTGTCATGCCATCATATATCTTAGCATCCGATGAAGCTAAATCTCATGCTATAGAGTGTCACTAATTCCAATATGTTAGCATCTAGACTAAATAAAAAGTCGCTTTTAACTGTGTATTCCTGATTGAGCTAATGAAACCTATCATGTGAATACGGTCATACTTTTGAAAATGACATATTTGACTTTACTACTATGGGGCATTCATTTGCTACAATTTGACATTGCAACTGTGCCCACTTGGTGGTGCTGGACCAAGGAACTTGTTTGTTCCTAGACAAGCTGAACTTTCCACGAAATGAGTACACCTCCCTTCCCCCATTCTTTAGAAAGCAACATATGTTCTTCTACAGGCCATTTATTTGCTGACAAGGGACATCCATTACATTTTGCTAATTGGTGCTCGACCAAGGAACCACAAACTCCTTCCCTGAAAATAAATGGTGCCAGGAAATGTTATGTTGAAGTATGTGATGGTTAAAAAGTTGGACCAAGATTAAATGATGAAACAGTTGTTGTCTAACTTGGTAGCTTGTGCTTGCCAATTGGAAGTGGTTTTGAATAGTTTAATAATTTTGCAGGTCTAAACAGGAAAGTTTGTGTGGCCATGGGTGTAGCTCAGCTTCTCATTTGGGCAGTTTGGGCTGGTGTAACTCACCACCCATCCCGGTTTAAGTTGTGGGTGGCACTTGTTGGTGGTGGCCTTGCCATCCTGTTGGAAATATACGACTTCCCGCCTTACCATGGATTTGTGGATGCTCATGCTCTCTGGCATGCCACTACCATCCCACTCACATATCTTTGGTGGAGCTTTGTAAAGGATGATGCTGAGTTTAGAACATCAAGTCTCCTCAAGAAAGAAAGGTAGAATTTCTCTACCCAGTGCCCGTGGTAGATGGATGATGGACACCACCAATCACTTTACATACCTCTCTGTTGAACAACTATAATGCACCTCCTTGTGTATACCTTTTTCCCAAATGCTTTGCATTTGCTGGTCCTTTCATCTGTGCTTCAATTGGTGATCATTGGATTATTTCAAAATGTGGTATAGAATCTGTAACAAAATTCAATGTTTAGATTTCTGTACCTCTTTTTTTTTTCATTTTATTTTTTTGTCTAAAGAAACTGGGGTAACCAAATTTTTGTGTAAATTGTGTTTTCTGTTAATAGATATGGTGGGTTTCTTCTTTCATGGTGTTTGCTAGTGCAATGAGTAACAGAGTTACACGAGACGTTGCAATAAGTAGGAATTTTGAGGTTAAAGTACATTTGATCCTTCAAGTTTAGGTGCAGCAACTTTGTTATCCTTGTATCCCTTAGGATATAATGATGATACTCCATTTTTTTTGAATCCTAAAACTTCCTATACAGTTTCATCTAAACTCTTTACTCATCAAACTCTGTAGAACGCTACACGCCCTTCTATCCTCTAGGATTTAATGAAGAAATTCTTGAAGCTGCTAAAAATACTCGATACTCACTTTATTTGATGAGGAAGCTGCTTCGTCAACAAAGATTGCATTCATAGAAATCCAATAAGAAGGGCCTGGTGCTGCACTATCTGAACAGAAGATATCAAGTTTTATATTTGTGAATGATCTGCGCGATGGATGGAAAGGCGAGCGATTGAGGAACGAGGATACTGATGGAACTGCAGACGAGTTCAGTTGTTGAAGCCACAAATCTTGAGCAAATGCAAAAGCTTTGCATCCTTTCTTGAGGCTCAAAAAGGGGGAGGTCATGGCTGTCGAGGACCTCGGGGTTCAAGCCTTGAATCTACAGCTTCCATTAGGGGAGATTGAGGTCCATAGCGATCACTTGAAGTTGATAAAGAGACAACTCAGTCTTGATAAGTCGGTGATAATTCCGTTCGAGCATGGTAATGATCTCGCCAATAGCCGTCCCTTTAGCTATGTGCTGAACGAGAAACCTCCTTCCCTGTAGCTCCATCTGCCATCATCCTGACAGCCGACAGGGAGAGAGGGGAAGTCACGTGCGATATAAAAAGCTATTCCTGAGTTACCGTTAGAGTTAGTTTGTGTTTTATTAGATTTTAAAAAATATTTTAAATTTTTACGAATAGGATTTTATATGAGTTTGGTTGAAATAAATCTAGTTAAAAACTTGATGTTAATAGTAAAAATGGCAATTTCAAGCATGTTTGAAAGTATATTTATAGTTTTTTTAAGTGTTTTTTTATTTAGAAAAGTATTCTAATAATATTTTTTTATTTTTAAAAAATTATTTTTAACATCACTAAATTAAAATAAGTTAAAAACATAAATATATTAATAAAAAATAAAAAAATTTAATTTTTTTAAAAATACTTTTCATATACAATGCCAAAATAAACGCTTGGGGGGAAAACAGTAAAATTGTCAGATACAAAACTTTCCAAGCAAAAGTAGACGGTAGTAGCTAGCCAAAAAATTGAGGTTGAAGCGTCATTATTGGTGGGTACTATCTCAATGGTTTTTGTGTATTATACTTTTTAAAATATATTTTATTTAAATGATTTATTTTAATTTTTTTTGAACATCAACCAATCAAAATTTATATAAAATACTAAAAAGATATTAATTTGATAATTTTCTAAAAAAGTAAAATAAGTAATGGTCTTCCAGCAACTGCAAGACGTTGAAGTTTTTAACTCTAATTTCAGTAACTAAACAGGTAAGTACTTGAACCCATGTCAAGCCCAGCTAACTCCTTTCCAGTACCCAACCCATAGCATACCATTACTCACGGAAAAAAAAAAAGAAGCAGCAGCATTTCTTCTTCTAAAATGACGAGAGAGACGAGTCCAGGCTTGAAGATCCTTTGGGCATGGACCATTGGCACCGCCGCCAGTAAGATCACCGAGAAAAAACCCATTTTCTGTAATGCCAAGCTTGAATGTATGTATTTATTTTTGTTGTTGTTGTTGTTGCAGTTTTGGTTACAAGTGTGGTGAGGACTAGACTAAAGGACATGGAGCAGATGATGAACGCTGAGCAACAGCAGCAGCAAGAGCAATAGAAAAAGCATCGAAGCACTCTGAGTGATCCAGATTTGTTGGATCCTGAAGAGGGAATCATTCGAGAAGTGAGATCATAGCTTTAGCAGCTAGTAAATTGATGTCTGATTCGTGCTTGTTTACTGTCTCAAGAGAATATAGGAGCCAAGTACTTTTGTTGTCTGATTGTTGAATATCACAATTATTGATACCAAATAATTTGGTGTTTTCACTTTTGTTTAATCTTCCTCGTGCTAGCTATTTGTTTGTTTTTGTTGGTCTTTGTTTGTTTGCAGGTTAAGGTAACTCCATCTTCATGAATTATGGGTTACTGACTTCATTTCATATTGTGAAATCTTTTTGTTTGAGTACAATCAATGAGCAAAAGGGCGAATGTTATGTGGAAATTATATTTATCCTCTCTTTAAAAGTGAGGAGTGCGAGATTGTTTAGCTTTGTAATTGTGGTTTGTGAAACTTTTGCTGGAAGATGAATCCCATGATGTCTAGTTTTCACTTGAATTTGATCGAGGTATAGTGCTTCTGTGAATTGTAGCTTTCTAGCTTGAACATGGAACTGCGTTTGTTAAGACTAATTGCAGAGGATACTTCTGAAGTACCAGCAATCCGGTTCACAAAAAAAAAAGCACTAGTGATTCCTCGAATATGTTTGTGGCCTGTGTGGCGGGCTAAATAGAAGACTGGAACCTTGTAATTCTTTTAGAAGGTTGAATATGGTTCTGCAGCTGGGGTTTGATCATGTTTATCGTTGCATTGATAAACATGATTTGCTTTCTTCTTCATCATCTAGCATTTTTAGTGTTATACCAAATGGTCAAATACATGCTACCAATGGTTCAACAGGAAAAATTCAATGAAACAACTAGCAAAGACTATCTTCATCCTATGCAGGACGGCGCCACTGCTAAACAGGTTTGGAGCTTCCTGCTTCCCACACACAAACGATCCTGACTTCTTTGTGATGGATTGTTTAAACTTCGATGTGACTGATGGGAATTTTAAGGAAGCAGTTGTAGAGGACTATGAAATAGTGTAGTTTATGTGGAGAAAGAAGGAGAGCTGCAACATGTGGTGTGGGACATTTGTCGAGAAAGTCAATTGAACAGATGACTTGACAGGAGGGAGTAGCTTCTAGCACTAAAGTAGAGAAGTAAATCAGTTGGAATCTTCCTCCAGTTGGGTCTGTCGCTGCAAGGAGCGTTCTGGATGTGGCAGGAGCAGGAGGTCTAGAAAGAGACACGAATGGTGCATTAAGTGTAGATAAGAATATTTTGTGTGCTAAGCATTTGTTGCTGAATTATGAGCAGTCTAAAAGGCCGAGAAATGACCTGGGACAAGCAAACAGAAAACTGGGCTAGAAGCATAAGGTGAGGCTGAGGCTTAAAAGCAGAACTCTCTCGCATTTAATTTGTTTATTCACTATTACAGTAATAGATCATGGCTTAGCCATTATTACATGATGCGATTGTGATTTCTTTGACACCCGTTAACAGTAACCCTAAATCCTGTAGCTTCTACAATTTTCACTCTCTCCGGCAGATTTCTTCCACACAATCCATTCTAACCCAGAAAACCAAAACCGCCACAATATTCAATTGTATCTGTACTAGTAAAAAATATAAGTACAGACAACATCGACTCTTATCTTAGTTACTCTGTCACTAACCCAAAATTATATAGAAAAACTCCATAATGACATATCAGCGTCAATATTTTCCACGTTATCCCAACCATCCCCTCCACCACAATGAGGTGGTGGCAATAACATCCCTTCAGCCATATTAGCCAACAACCCTGGCATTCCAAAAATAGCCTCTTCATCCATATAAAACACCTCCTCCCCCGCCTCCGCGGCAGTATCCGCCGCCTTCTCCCCCTCATCTACCGTCCTCATCAACTCACCTCCCACACACCCCTCCGGCCGAAAACCCCCAGCTGCCTCAGCTGCAGCCTTCTGAATGTCCTTAGCTTCACTAGAAGCCGGAACCGGCAACCTCCAAGCAGAATCCGCAAAATTCAAGCAAGCAGACCTACCCCTCAATGCCAAAGCAGCAACATCATGTGCCCTAGCAGCCATTTCAGCAGTAGGGAAAGTCCCTAACCAAATTCTTGATTTCTTATTGGGCTCTCTAACTTCACAAACCCACTTACCTGAATTCCTCCTCCTTACCCCTCTATACACCGGATGCCTTGTTTCCCTGAACTTCTTTCTCCCTGCCCTCTTCTTCGGATTCCTCGAAGCTAGCATTACTTCCTCATCAGAAAAATTTGGGGATGGTTGAACTCTTGTAGTAACATTACTACTAGTACTACTATCTGAAAGAACAGGAGAATGAGAACACTGTTCTTGATTAATACCATTATTCTCATACCACAAATCTGTTGCCCCAAATGGACTTGGATCAGAATAATGGCTGAAAAAATCCATAACGATCCCTAAACCTTAGAGGGTTCTTGTTTCTTATCTTGAATATTTACTCTTAAGTAAGGAAAAAAAAAACAGAGTAGAACTGAAGTCTGCTAGCTCGAACTGCTAACTTGTTTGCTTCTTTTTTAAGGTGGGGACTATGTTATATATGTTATTGTAATGACGCAGTATAAGCTGTGCATTTCACACGCATTTGGAGAGAAGCCAGCTAAGGCCCCCACGGATTGCACATAGATTTTGGTAAGTATTTAACAAGATATTTGAAACTGATGGATTGATTTGATTTGATGATGCAGTGGCAGAATCTAGTTAAGTAGGACTGAGTTTTGCTTTGCTTGCTAAGTGGATAAGTGCCAACTGTATCCGGCTTCGAGATCAGTTGGATTTTTGGAGTGACACGTGTGATTTTGACCTTCCAAGATGTTTCCCTGCTAGTGGGTGTTTAAAGCCTCTAGGCTGTCGTAGTCGAAGGTGTTGGGAGTGCATTTGTTTTCAAAGTAGTTTGTGCAGTTATAATTAAAAAGCAAGTTTAAAAAATATATAGTTACTTATACTTAATTGAATTTAGTTATATGTTTAATAAAAATTATAATTAAAATTTATTTATAGTAAAAAATATGTATAAAATATTTAGTTGTAGTTATTTTTTTAAAAGTCCTTTTTATTTAGAAATATATTAAAATATATATTTTTTTAAAAATTATTTTTGATATTAGTGCATTAAAATAATTTGAAAATATAAAAAAATAATTTAAAGTAAAAAAAATTAAATTTAAAAAATACTTTTAAAATATAAAAACAAATAGAATTTTACAAAACTTAATTAAAAAAATATAAAAACTATTTTATAAATACTGAGTTTCAAACATAATTTTTTAATGAGTTTCATAATATAAAATACATTTTGATATTTTATTAAACACCTAACTATATTTTTCATACCATAAATATAAAAGCTAAAGCTAAACAAATGGATCTAAATAATACCCGTTTGGGGTTTGGTATTGCATTGCGGCTATAGTTGCATGCGGTATTTCTCAACAAAATTAATTTTTTTTAATTAATCTAATTGTAATTAGTAAATCAATGAGATCACTTTCTAGTTTAATGAAATTTTTATTTAAATAAGAGTTTGTTTAAAAAAGAATAAACTTGGCTTGCAACCCGTATTTCTAAACCTCATGATATGATATAGAAATTAGACACAAATGTGTATTAAAATTAAATATGAATGAAATTAAGCCTTGAAAAATCATTATTATTGACGAGCAATTGAAGAAGTATCGTGGAAAGCTCACAAGGAAAGAGAGTTGGGACGGAAGGCTATGAAAACGATGGCGAGGCATGTGATGAGGTGGCAGATGGGCAGAGAAGGACGGGTACCTTTCAAAATGACGTCACCCAACTCCCACAAACACGGTTAGTTTTCTACGATCCAACTGCCAGAGAGCCGGTGGTTTTCCCGCGGAAACGCGTACGTTTTATGTACACGTGGTCCCGCATTCACAGCGGTCCCGCATTTACAGCTTGCTCTTGTTGTTGTACACGGTTGCATGTTATGTTAGTAGAAAGACAGGACTTTTTTTTTTAAGATTTTTTTTGTGTAAAAATTATATATTTTTTAATATTAATATATTAAAAAAATTAAAAAATATTAATCTAAAACTTTTTTAAAAATTCAAGAATTTAAAAAAAAACATGATTAAATTATATTTTTAAATGAATTTTTAATACACTTCTATTTCAAAAGTTGACTCAAGACTTAGTCAGTTTGGTGGATTAATTAATAATCAAAATATAATTTGATTATTTTTTAAATAATATTATTTTAATTTGAAAAAATTAAATAATATTAATTTAAATTATTAAAATAAATTTATCAAACTCATTATTTAAAATATTTAATTAGGTTATAAATTGCAACAAGTTTAATAACTTTTAAGAAAAAAGCATGTATTTGAAAATTATATGACTAGTTTATAGGCTAGCGCTATATTACGGGGTGGATAAAATTTTTTTTTTTTTTTGTTAAATCCTATCTAATATGTCAACCTTTTAACCATATAATTTAACTTTTTAATTAGTTTGGATTTAAAATTAAATCATTTGAGAATTGACTTAATATAACTTAATTGACTTAGTCATTATAAAAACAACCCGATTAATTAGTATAAAAGATTTGAGGATGAAATTGATATAAAAAACTTTTTAGCTCAATTTCTTACTTAGCTTAAGTTTAAAACTTAATCATATGAGAGTTTCTTTGACATGATTTAGTCGACTTGGTTTGTTTAAACATAACCCAATTGAATAATAAAAAAAAAATTAAGGAAAAAATCAAGAAAAAAATAATGAGATTGACAAAAAAAATTTCTTGACTCAACTTTTTATCTAACTCGGATTTAAAATTAAATCATGTAGGAGTTGTCTCGACATGATTAAATTGACTTGGTTAGTCCAAATATAATTTAATCCATAAATGAGAAAATAATATATTATCATTTATAAGATATAAATAAGAATTTTCTTACATGTTATAAACAAACTAATCCATAGATACTAATATATTATATCTTGGAGCATAAGGATCATAATTATCTAGATTATATGCAGCTGGCGCTGAGTGTCACATGAATGTCTTATAACATGCTTTCATAACGGTGTTATGAATCATTTTTTTTTATGTTTATGTAATAAAATATGTAGAGATCTAACTCATTAGAAGGATATCACTATTTAAGCATGTGATCTCTCTTCAATAGCCAAAGATTGACATGTTATATATGAACCACCAACTAATCATTATCCATTTTACCCTGATGATTAATAACATGCAGATAATTAATTGTGTCAATATCATTAGGTATGTGTTGATACAATCCAAAATGATGCATTCAAAAAATAAAATTAGATAAAAATAAATAAATAATTGAGTTCATGCACACTTGGTGAGGCTCATGTAAACCCAACTCATCTAATAGTACTAATGAACAAGGTGAGATTTTGTGTAAAATGTCTAAACCTCTTCCTAACCCAACTAAAATGACAAATAGTTATTTAGAAAAAGTTTTATAGAAATTTTAATATAATGTATTTATAATTATTATTACTAAGCTATAATCGAGAATCATCTTCCTATTCAAAATAAAAAAAATATATTTTAATATTTATTTCATATAAAAAAATCTTTATGGATAATAGCTCGATTGATTTTAATTTTAATACTTATTTTAGCTTTGAAAATGGTCAACATCATATTAGCAACAAAAGCTTTCATCAATCTAACGATGGGCTTGCATAATCATTGAATTATAGATGTGTAAGGCTCTTTCATTCTGAGATATAAAATGACTCAGAATTCTTATAACATCTCTTACACAAATACCATTGACATGATAGTTCATGCTTACTGTGTAACTGTATATAAGTTGCGGTTAAGCATCGTAATTTGTGTTATAGTGAATTCTTTACATGCCACCACATAACTGAATTATTTAAATCAGTCTTGGTTCAAAATATTCATCCAACTTTCAACTTAATACTTAAAAGCCTAAATTTCTACAACTCAAATCACAACAAAAACTTATCGTTTGAGTAAACCCATTAACATCCTCAAATTCAAGAATAAAAGATCCCGTTGTCTGCCTTATTGGCTTACCTTGGTCATCTTCTTTAATTACATTATTGAAATTATAGTCATTTTTCTCATAATTTGGTTTAGATTCATCATAATAATATGAAGTCATTACCATACCTAACTGAACTTTCATATGTATTATTTCTCAAACCGATGTTAATTTCATTACATCACCAATTATCCTAGATGAACTTATTGCATGTGATCACTACGTGGTCCTTTGAATGTAGCTTGAGACCTAAGTAATCTTCAAAATTAAAGAGTTTCCTTGCTTACTTTTTCTATTTAAGTAAAACTTTAATATTTGCAACCTATCTATAATGATCAACTCAATCACTCTATTAAAACTCATATGACTAATAATGGCATAACAATTCAAATGGCTCCCACCTAACATCCTTCAAGTAATATCAACATTAGATTTATATATATTATACCTAATTTCTTGACATATTAATTTTTCAAAGTTTATAAAATGAACTGTTTAATCTCAAGTTATATAACTCGGTTCTTTCTTCATAATAAGAGATACCATTATAGTTATCAATTATTTTACCACTATAATAACATAATATTTTCACTATAAAAGACATCTTTTTATGAAATTCATAACAAAATACAATGTTGATTTATCAATATAGTAATTATTCAAGTCACCTTTAAAGATTCAAAACTTATGAAAAAAAAAAAACTAAACCCTAAAACCCTCACAATAACATAATTAACACAATATAATTCATCAATTTTTTTAAGTAAGAAAATTTATACATTTAATTAATTTTATATTTAATTAATCTCAAATTTTAGATAGTTTAGGAAAAACTAATAACAACCCCAAACTAAACCCTAACCCTAGCAAATCCACCAAATTAGCCAACCAAAATAATATATTAATTAATTAAAAGGGAAGGTGAAATAGGGCTCTTATATGTGGTGGTTATGGTGATGATAGTGAGGAACCGGTAGTTGCTAAAAGTGGATGGCTCGATAAAGAACCAACAATGGAGAGAGTGAATGAAATGCGAGGTTTGTCGATAAGGTTTTTATTTTACAGTGAAGAGAGAGATCAAGTGACTTGAGCTAAGAACGATATTGGAAGGAGAGAGAGAGAAGACAGAGAAAAAAAGAAATAAGAGGAGAGAAAAAAGAAAGAAAAAAAAACTAGTTTTGAAATAATTAACTGGAAAGTCGTGCATGTACTACATGGGTGACCAGTGCTTGTGCATATATAGTATACACACAATCACTGAACATGCATATATTACATGCACGCCTCATATTCTGTGCTAGTTTGGTTAATATTTTCCTAATTGTGCTAACGTGGGAAACAAAGCTGATGAGAATGACGAGGCAATTGAGTGCATCTATCTCATCTGTTCATCATTGCCTATGTATGGATTTTCAGTGCATCGGGCTCTTCTTCTTCTGCTATCTTCATCATCCTCCCCCCATTTTCTTAGGATTCAAACCTCAAGTTGCTGGGAGAAGGCG